AGGAGCCGCAGCGGGCGGCAGGCAGGCGAGAGAGGCCGAGAGCCCGACGCCCGCGGGGGGCGCCGGCCTGCCTGCGCCGCGGGGGAAGGCCTCGTGCGCCACGGGGCCCTTCGGGGCCGTCGCCAGCCTCGTCCTCCGAGGAGGCACGGCCGCAGGACACCCATGAGGCGGGCCCTCGCGGGGCACGTCGTGGGAGGTTCTCGAAGGTGCTGCCAGAAGGGGCGCGTCAAGCTCCCCCCTCCCCCTGGACAGAGGGCGGGGGGACCCCTCCCGCTCGGTTCGAACCCGTTCGAGCCCCCCCCCCCTCCCCCCCTGCAACTCAGGAGGGGGGGGGGCCGTCCCCCCCTCCCGGTTCGACCTGGTTCGACCCTCTTCTCCCCTTCCATCCCAGGGGGGGGGGCCCTGGTGCGGACTATCCCCCGTTCCCAGCGTCCACAAAATATGCTTCTTTCAGTGCCCTAGGGACATCGCCTCGCGGGATAAGACACGTCCGTGGCGCACCTGCTGAAGACCAGTTTCTTATTTGTCGTGCGTACTGCGCATCGAAGGAGCAACATGAATACCAGCATGAACGCTCGGAGGTCCTCGCGGTCTTGTCGGACTAGCCCTCGACCCCCTCCATGGCCCGCGGAATGCTTTTGAGGCGCCGCCATGGGGGGGTCCAGCGCGAACCCTGCTCGAACCTCCGCACGCTATATATATATATATATATATATATATATATATATATATATATATATATATGCAACCTTTCTTGTCCGAATCACGATGAATGTCAAGAGTGCTTGGTCCGTCGTCGTCCATCGCCTTCATCGTCGTCGTTGTCGCCGTCATTCGTCGTCCGTCGCCTGTGTCGTTCGTCAGTCGTCGTCCATGGTCGTCGTTCGTCGATCGTCGTCCATGGTCGTCTTCGTTCGTCGGTCGTCGTCCGTCGCCTTCGCCGTTCGTCCATCATCATCCGTCGTCTTCGTCGTCCGTGGTCGTGGTGGTCGTCGTCCGTGTCGTCTTCGCCGTCTTCTTCGTCGCCGTCGTCGTCGATGCCCCGTCCGCGGAGGCAGGCGCGTGTGCCTCGGCAGCGCTGCGGCGCGGCCCCGCTGGGCCTGTCGCAACACGCCCGCGCACGGGGCCCTTCCCTCGTCGTCGTCGTCGTCGTCGTCGTCGTCGTCGTCCTCCTCCTCCTCCTCCTCCTCCTCCTCCTCCTCCTCCTCCATTCCTTCTCCTCACAAATAACTTCTCCCTGTCGCACCCCGAAACCAGTTTTTATGGCGGGCCGAGCGTTTCGCATGAGACTTCCTCACCAATTGTGACCCTGAAGCTTCAAAAATGACCAGTTTCACGGATTAAGGGCGGGTGGTTGTCCAAATGTAACTCTCGCACTAGCGCCGCGCACAATTCTTTCTAAAAACTGTTGGAAGAGCTTCATGGACTGAGGGCGGGCGGTGTTCAAAATGTGGCTCTCGCACTAGCGCTGCGCACATTCGGTCTAAACATATGCTAGAATTTCGCTGACTGAGGGCGGCTGGTTCTCAAAATGTGGCTCTCGCCGTTGCGCCGCGCGCATTCGTTAAACAAAAATGCACGAGCTTCACGGATTGAGGGCGGCTGGTTTTCAAATTGTGGCTCTCGCCTTAGCGCCGCGCACATGCGTTCTAAAACATTGCAAGAGTTTCACGGATTGAGGGAGGTTCCATTAAAAAAATGTGGCTCTCGCCTTAGCGCCGCGCACATTCGTTTGACAAGAATTGCAAGATGCTCACGGATCTCCAATGATCAGCAAACCAAAAATTGTGTTTTTGGAAAGATTCAGGGTCATGAGGACGCAACAGTTACGTTGATTCGCTGTGTTGAAGTCTCAGGAATGGTGCTCTGGCACGATCAAGATCGCCGAGACGCAACAGCCAGGTCGATCCATGGCGCTGGAATCCCGAAAACATTATTTTGGCATGCTTCAGGGTCTTCACACGGTTGTCTTCCAACGAGGCAGACTCCTCAGTGGAACTGAACCGTTGCAGGGGCCTCTGGAGCGGGAGCTCGGAGGGAGGGTGTCTTCCAACATCGTTGGTGGCTTTTGGGATTCCACTGCTGCTGCTCCTCCTCCTCCTCCTCGTCCTCCTCCTCCACCTCCTCCTCGGTCTGCCCTGAGCTGGTGTCGAATCGCGTCCTCCTCTTCCTCCTCCTCGTCCTCCTCCTCCTCCTCCTCCTCCTCCTCCTCTTCGTCCTCCTCCTCCTCGTCCTCCACGCCCTCCTCCTCCCCCTCCGCCTCCTCCTCCTCCTCCTCCCTCTCCTCATCCCCCTCCTCGGTCTGGCCTGAGCTGGTGCCGAATCGCGAGCTCGAATCGGAGCGGCATCGGAGCGGGATCCCCGCGGGTCGCTCGGGAGCGCGGAGCGTGCCCGGCCCCTGCAGGCCCGGAAGGGGGAGGTCGGCTCGGTCGTGAAAGGGTCGGACCGGATCGCCTTCGGGAACGAAGGCCAGAGCAGCCCTGCTCGTCTCCTCCTCCTCCTCCTCCTCCTCCTCCTCCTCCTTCTCGGGACGAAGACGGGATCGGGATGGGATCGGATCGGATCGGACCGTGAGCAGCCCTGCTTGTCTCCACGTCGTCCTCGCGAGCGTCCTAGCCTCGCTCGGCCTGCCATCCTCATCCTCTGCGCCCCCCTCCTGGTCCTCGCTCCTGCCATTTGTCCTCGCCCTCCCCGTCGTCGTCCTCTTGCTCTACCTTTACACGGCGCTCTCTATCCCACTGATCTTCTACCTACTCCTCCTTATCCTCCTGGATGTTGTTGTTGTTGTTGTTGCTGTCGTCTACCGATGCTCGTCCCGATCGCTCTCTGTTGCAACCCTGTCCTCCTGCATGAGCTCTGGGCGGACAGGATGGCGAAAGCTGCAGCGGCTTCGATTCCTAGCCCGTCGGCCCAAGAGCTCAAGATACTTCAGGGCTCCAGTAAGCCCTTGAGGCGGGTTTTGCAATATGCAGCCGCAGCTCTTACCCTGTGGGCCCCACTTGCGCCCAAGACTCGGAAAAAGGCTTTCGAGAAGCCAGCCCAGAGTCGAAGCATTCCGGTCGGATCGGCTGGAGCTGTCCATGGTTGGCCTGCGCCGCCTCTCTGACGCCCGCGGGGGCCCGAAGGCAGCACACAGAGCTCCGAAGGATTCGCCTGGAGCTGGTTGAACAGTCACTGACTCTAAGTGAATTGTAACGCGCGTGCGCGTACAGACTGCACGCGCAAGACGAGCTCCCAGAAGATGCGTCCTGGGAATGTTGATTTTGAACAATCACTGGCTTTGCGTGAATTGTCGCGCGCGTGCGCGTGCAGACTGCACGCGCAAGGCGAGATCCCAGAAGATTCGTCCTGGGAGTGCCGCCTCCCTGTCGGCCCTCGTCAAGGCCTCCGAGGGGCACGCCCTTGTCGCCTGTGATTATGTGGCAATGCCGTCCTTGTTTTTCGGATTCTCGCCCGTGTGGTCAGTACACGAAGAGCAACCGTAACCCGGCACAGGCCGCGAGACTCGCTTCAGAGGCGGCTCGCCTGGCCCACGGGCGAGGGACGCCGCGCAGACGGGGACAGGCGCATCCTCGAGTGGGCGATCCATGTCTGGGACGTGTTGCTGACGGACAGGTACGCGGTTCCCCGGCGCCGACGAGGACGAGGAAGGAGGCGGAGGTGGTGGCGACGGGGAGGCCGAGGGCCGACAGGAAGGGCGCCGAGACGCGGGCGACCGCGGCACAGGCGCAGTGCGGCTGCGACCGCGAGGAGGAGGGACGCAGGAGAGGGAGAGGAGGAGGGAAGGGCGCTCACTGCAGAAGCCAGGAGGGAGGTCAGAGAGGAGGAGGGAAGAGGCCCCGCCGCAGAAGCCCGGGGGGAGGGGGCTGAGGAGGAAGAAGAGGAGGGAAGGGCGCCCGCCGCCAAAGGCAGGAGGGAGGCCAGGGAGGTAGGAGGAAGAGCACCCGTTGCCCAAGGCAGTCGGGCGGCAAGGAAGGTAAAGCAACTGCTGCAAAAGACAGGAGGGCTGCAAGGAAGGGAAAGCACCTGATGCAGAAGGCAGAAGGGAAGACACCTACTACTACCACAGCCGGGTCATCTCGACGGCCCTGTTGTTTCACCGTCCCCCCCGAAGAGCAACCGCAAAGGTTAAAGAAACGACTGTTCAAGAGAGCTCAGCAATAATTTACAGCAAGGGCGACACCCCAAGGATCCCAAGAAATCCGCGCCCCGCCTCGGCCGTCCAATCCACGCCGCCCAACTCCTGTGGAAGGGCCAGCGCCGAGGAGCCCGCGTACGGGCCAGAGAGTGACCACGACGATGCTGTGGTCACCGGAGCCTAAAATATCGAGTCGGGTCGGGTCGACCAACCCCCTGCCTTCCCCCTTGCGCCGTGAAGGTCCCTCCTCCTCCTCCTCCCTCCCTCCTCCTCCTCCTCCTCCTCCTCCTCCTCCTCCTCCTCCTCCTCCTCCTCCTCCTCCTCCTCCTCCCTCCTCCTCATCCTCCCTCCGCCTGCTCTTCCCCACTCCTCCCGCCCGTGGTCAAAGTTGAAGCTCGGGCCCCATCCTAATGCCTAAAAAGCCTGAGGTCGCCGTCGACTTCGACACTAGTTTGCCATGTTTGAGCGATGTTGCTGCGCGTGCTCACTTGTGTGTGTCATGTGGAGTTCGGGGCAGGCTGTCTCACGACCAGTCTGCTGTCACCGTTGGGCTACAAGAAGGTCGACCTAAAAAAATTGAGCAGGGACCGACCGTCCTGGCATTCCATAGTCCTACCACAAAATGTTCGTAGAACCCCAAAATGCTCTAAGAACAAAAATAATGTTCTTAGGACATTCTTAGGACATAAACCCGATGTGATCAAACAAGACAGACTCCGCCAGAACTGTTCTAAGAACATTTCGTGGAGACCGCAAAAGGTTCTTAGAACACTCTTCGGTAGGGCTATAGGCGAGCCAGGACGCTTCGCCACTGCTTGAAAAAGTCGGGATCATTCTCTTCCCTCTCCCTTCATGGCCGAGCGCCTTGCAGCTGTCGCATCCCGGCGTCCGAGGACGAGGCCGTGGAGTAGCCGTCGGGGCCGGCGCGGACGCTGCCGACGGCGCCGAGGCCGCCTCGGCCGAAGGTTCGCACGGGCCGCCATTTTCCCCCGCCGACGCGGCTGCCGCGAGACTGCTTCTTACGTCTGTTTCGTAGGGGAGAGGGGGGGGGGTCCGGCCTGTGAGCGCTAGAGCATGCTTGTGATCAACAAGACATGCCCGTCAGCATCACAACATGCCCGTCGTGCCTGTGGGGAAACCGCAATCCCCTCCAGCGTATACGTTCGCTACCGCTGTTATGGGAAGGGGGGGGAGAGGGGGGGGGCGATCCCCGCAACGAACGTGACGGTTTCATCGAGGAAAGCAATACCTTCCCCAGGCGCCGCGGCCGCCCTCCTCTGGAGCGAAATCGGCCCGCGGGAGGTCAGGAGGCAACTCCTGGGAGGCCTTCGCAAGAACGACTACGGAGGGCTGTTCAGCCCGAGTGTGGGACCAAGGAGCTAGGTTAGCCCAAATTACCACCTAGAATTAAACAGGATGTGTCCGGGCAAACCCGGGCTGGGCACACTTAAGCTGGACTGTGCTGGGATAGGCTGTTCTCGACCACGGATATACAAGCGCCGAAGGCCGATACCGTACCGCCGCCACCGCCATCCTTTCTCTGAAGTGAGGTCCGCCCGCGGGACGGGGACGAGGATGTCCGAGAGGGCCACGAACGGGGCGCGGCACATCGTCGAGGACCTTTTTTCGCACACCTGCGGAGGGAGGATGGCATCGTTCCTCTCAGCGGGCGGCTGGCGACAGGGGGGCCTGAGTCAAAGACAAGGCAGTCGTAGAATATCAGGCAGACATAAAGAATGAAAACGTCTGAGAACCCTTGGGTCTGGAGGGTGTTACCGGGCTCCGTGGCCGATTCAGAAAGCTCGGGAACGATGTGTACTCGTCCTGGAGCCTGCCTGGTGGCCTTTCTACAGTCCCCTACCCTCTCCCTCCCGTTGTCCTGCCAGCTCGGCCTCAAAGCGAGCCCGAGAGGGCCCCATTCCCCATCGTAGCAGCATCGGTGCACCGTGGAGAACGGATCCCAAACGCCTTGCCCTAGTGGTCAGCCACCCGAAAGTGGGATGGTTGTCGGGGCAAGAAAGGACAGGAGCGAGAGAGAGAGAGAGAGCAAAAGAAAGAGAGAGAAGCAGAGAGGAAAACAACATGTACGTGTGCATGCATGCATGTATGAATGAATGCATGCATGCATGTATGTGTGTATATATGTATATATGTATGTATGCATGTATGTCGGTATGTATGTATGGCTGTATTTTTGTGTGTATGCATGCGTGTCTGTAATTATTATTACATGTAGCACACATATGTAGCCATACATAGTTATAGTTGTGTATAACCGTAAAGACACACACGCGCCTATGTATGTATATATATACACATATACATATACAAGACTGCATTGGCGCTTCGCGCCATGCGCCTTGTTCCGGACGCTTCCCTGGCAGAGCAATAAATCATCGCTTTCTTCAGCAGGGAGGAACTCGAGGCCTGGACGGGCGACCCGCCCATTTTTCCGATATCCCGGGTGCCTGCTGACACCGCTTTCGGACGATGCGCTGGCACGCTTGTGCGCAGGTGTGGGGAAATCATGCTGATTTTTTCGCGCGCGAAGGTCCTTTTAGGAAGTAAGGAGCGTTCCCATGACACGCCGAAGAAGTCACAGTAGCTCCGAACACATCGATTTTTGATCGCTTCCCGAATGCCTGGAGGGCTCCAGGCACTCAGGAAATATTCGATCATCGAATTTCGAATCTAGATCCATTGCCTGTCTCTCTCGATCGGGTAGCTACTGAAACCTCGAGCCTCAAGCGTGGAACCAAGATCGTAGGGTCAGCTTGATGTATTTCGTAGGAGAACGCCGTCTGGTCGTTTTTGGTGCTCTTTTGTGCCGTCCTGGGGCACTCTTGGGCCGTCCTGGGGGCTTCTTGGGCCGCCTTGGGGAGCTGGGGCCCTCCAGAGGTCTTCTGAAGCCATCTAGGGCCCTCTTGCGGGCCTCCAGTGGCGTTCTTGGAGGTATCCCATGGCTTTCGTGGGCCTCTCTTGGGAGCCTTCTGGGGGCATCTTGGGCTTCTTGTGGGAAGTCTCGGGGCCCTCTGGGGCAGTCTTGGGGCCCCCTTGGGCCGCCTTCAACCCCTCTAGGGGGCCTCCCGGGCCATCTTGGGGCGAGATTGGGGGCCCATGGGGCCGTTGTCGACGCTGCGAAGACCCAAAAAGCGGATATGCACAACAAATGTAATTCCTGAGGGAATGTGACGATTTGGGCTTCTTCGGGGCTCTCTTAACGGCCTCTTGGGGAGTCTTGGGGGCCTCTTGGGCCGTTTTCAGACCATCGAGGTTCCTCTTGGAGTGCTCTTGCGCTGTCTTGGGTCTCTCTTGCGCCTCTCCGACGACCCCTCACTCGCAAGGCCCAGCGAGGCGCCCTGGCAGGCCCGGAAGGGCCACCGAACCTTTTCCAAGGGCGTCCAGGGGGCCGCCGAAACGTCGGGAAAGGGCGTCCGGAGCGTCCCTGGGGGAAGGATACGGTTTAGGGGGGGGGTCCCGGGAGGGGGGTGTGGGGGGGTCCGGGTAATAAAATATAGGAATAGGAATATATACATATACGTATATATATATATTATATATATAACATATATATATATATATATATATATATATATACATTTGTACAGAAAAACACAGACGGCCCATCTCAAATAGTATTATAATAACTCCCCAATGCGTACATACCCCCCCGTATTTAGATTCGGCCCTGGGCTCTCCCACCTGCGTGAACTTACAATCATCCTACGCCGCCAGAGCGGGCCCAGGATCGCTTCCCCGACGGTCCCGCGGAGCCCCGAGACGGCCCAGGGCCGCTCCAGCACGGCCCATGAGCGCTCAAAGAGGGCCCAAGGTGGCTTCGAGACGGCTCGAGGGGCCTCCAAAACTTTTCCAGAGGTCCCCAAGGATTCAAACATCGCCCCCTCCCCTGGGGGAAACGTGCATTTTCGACACGTTCGCGTCTTTGGTCTCCTCTGCGTCCAAGACGGCTCATGAGATTCGCCTCAGGACGGCAAACATATTGCTCCAAATGGCCCCAGCACGCCCCGAAAGACTGCAAGACGGCCCAAAAGACGGGCCCGAGAGGGTCCCCAAAAGGCTCCCAAGAGAGAGCCCCAAGGAGACCACGGGAGGCCCCCGAGATGGCCCAAGAGGGCCCCAAGAAAGCCCCAACTCCTCCTCCTCGACCTCCTCCTCCTCCTCCTCCTCCTCGTCCTCCTCCTCCTCCTCCTCCTCGACCTCCTCCTCCTTCTCCTCCTCTTCCTTCTCCTCCTCCTTGACGCCCTGGGGTTAGGCAAGAGGGCCGAATCCCCCCAAGACGGTTCACGAGGGCCCCCGGACGGCCCAGGAAGGCCTGCAGACGGCCCAAAAGAGCCCCAAAAAGATCCCCACGAAAGCCTTCAGAGGCCACCTTGATTAATCTCCGCGGCGCGGCAGAGGCAATCCGGGTGTGATGTGTACCGAGGCAGAGGCAATCGCGCGCTCGAGTTCGGGCGTTGGCAGAACTGGGTGTAGTGGGACCGGCTGTGATGTGTACCAGGGGACGACCTCCCCCCCGCCACATTTCACTAATGCGGGATGACGATTGATAAAATTATCCCGGCAAAGCAACCTAACAGCGATGTGTAGAAGCATCTCTGAAAGCATTCCCCTTAAGATTCAGATGAAAATCCAGTTGTCGAATTCTGCTGTTCTCGCAGTCGTAGTCGCATTCGCGATGACAGTCGCAGCGGCAACGGCAGTCGCAGTCACAGCCTCAGCCTCAGCCTGCCTCCTCCTCCTCCTCCTCTTTCTCCTGCTCCTCCTCCTCCTCCTCCTCCTCCTCCTCCTCTTCCTCCTGCTCGTCCTCGTTCTCGTCCTCCTCGTCTTGCTCGTCCTCCTCCTCCTGGTGCTCCTCCTCCTCCTCCTCCTCCTCCTCCTCCTGGTGGTCCTCGTTCTCCTCCTCCTGGTGCTCTCCCCCCCCCTCCTCCTCCTCGTCCTCCTCCTCCTCCTCCTCCTCGTCCTCCTCCTCCTCTTCCTCCTCCTCCTCCTCCTCCTGGTAGTCCTCCCCCTCCCCTCCTCCTCCTCCTCCTCCTCTTCCTGGTCGTCCTCGTTCTCGTCCTCCTCGTCTTGCTCGTCCTCCTCCTCCTGGTGTCCTCTCTCCTCCTCCTCCTCCTCCTCCTCCTCCTCCTCCTCCTGGTGGTCCTCGTTCTCCTCCTCCTGGTACTCTCCCCCCCCCCCTCCTCCTCCTCCTCTCGTCGTCCTCCTCCTCCTCCTCCTCCTCCTCTCCTCCTCCTCCTCCTCCTCCTCCTCCTCCTGGTACTCCTCCCCCTCCCCTCCTCCTCCTCCTCCTCCTCTTCCTGGTCGTCCTCCTCCTCCTGGTCGTCCTCCTCCTCCTGCTCGTCCTCCTCCTCCTCCTGCTCGTCCTTCTTCTCCTGCTCCTCCTGCTCCTCGTCCTGCTCCTGCTCGTCCTCGTCCTCCTGGTCTTGCTCGTCCTCCTCCTCGTCGTGCTCTTGCCCCTGCTGAAAATGTGGCCCAGGAATGGGAGTTCTGGGAAGTCGAAGAGCACGAAGTTGCCTACAGTTGGCTACGGGCATTCAAAATGTGGCCCGGGAATGGAGTTCTGGGAACTCGAAGAGCACGAAGTGGCCTACAGTTGGCTCCGGGCATTCAAAATGTGGCCCGGGAATGGAGTTCTGGGAACTCGAAGAGCACGAAGTGGCCTACAGTTGGCTCCGGGCATCCAAAATGTGGCCCGGGAATGGAGTTCTGGGAATCGAAGAGCACGAAGTGTGTGACTGTTGCAAAATGTGGCCCGGGAATGGAGTTCTGGGAACTCGAAGAGCACGAAGTGTATGACTGTTGCATCCGGCCCTCCAGAATGTGGCCCGGGAATGGCGTTCTGGGATCTCGAAGAGCACGAAGTGTGTGACTGTTGCATCCAGGTATTGAGAATGTGGCCTGGGAATGGAGTTCTGGGAAGTCGAAGAGCACGAAGTGTGTGACTGTTTGTGAAAAACGAGCCCGGCACCTGCCGCCCGGCAACTCCCAACACCTGCCCGGACCCCCCTGTGAAGTGATCTGCTGCTCTCTGTTGATCCCACTAGAAACCTATCAGTCTTCGCTGTTAGGTAAAAATGGGAGAGAACGATTAAAAAATAGTTTTCTGCTATTTCTGCACAATTTTCTAACTGGAGGAGAACGATTAAATTATCCCGGCAAAGCAACCTAACAGCGATGTGTAGAAGCATATCTGAAAGCATTCCCCTTAAGACTCAGATGAAAATCCAGTTGTCGAATTCTGCTGTTCTCGCAGTCGTAGTCGCATTCGCGATGACAGTCGCAGCGGCAACGGCAGTCGCAGTCACAGCCTCAGCCTCAGCCTGCCTCCTCCTCCTCCTCCTCTTTCTCCTGCTCCTCCTCCTCCTCCTCCTCCTCCTCCTCCTCTTCCTCCTGCTCGTCCTGGTTCTCGTCCTCCTCGTCTTGCTCGTCCTCCTCCTCCTGGTGCCTCTCCTCCTCCTCCTCCTCCTCCTCTCCTCCTCCTCCTCCTCCTCCTGGTGTCCTCGTTTCTCCTCCTCCTGGTGCTCTCCCCCCCCCTCCTCCTCCTCGTCCTCCTCCTCCTCCTCCTCCTCGTCCTCCTCCTCCTCTTCCTCCTCCTCCTCCTCCTCCTCCTCCTCCTCCTGGTAGTCCTCCCCCTCCCCTCCTCCTCCTCCTCCTCCTCCTCTTCCTGGTCGTCCTCGTTCTCGTCCTCCTCGTCTTGCTCGTCCTCCTCCTCCTGGTGTCCTCCTCCTCCTCCTCCTCCTCCTCCTCCTCCTCCTCCTCCTCCTCCTCCTGGTGGTCCTCGTTCTCCTCCTCCTGGTACTCTCCCCCCCCCTCCTCCTCCTCCTCCTCGTCCTCGTCCTCTCCTCCTCCTCCTCCTCTTCCTCCTCCTCCTCCTCCTCCTCCTCCTCCTCCTCCTCCTCCTGGTACTCCTCCCCCTCCTCCTCCTCCTCCTCCTCCTCTTCCTGGTCGTCCTCCTCCTCCTGGTCGTCCTCCTCCTCCTGCTCGTCCTCCTCCTCCTCCTGCTCGTCCTTCTTCTCCTGCTCCTCCTGCTCCTCGTCCTGCTCCTGCTCGTCCTCGTCCTCCTGGTCTTGCTCGTCCTCCTCCTCGTCGTGCTCTTGCCCCTGCTGAAAATGTGGCCCAGGAATGGGAGTTCTGGGAAGTCGAAGAGCACGAAGTTGCCTACAGTTGGCTACGGGCATTCAAAATGTGGCCCGGGAATGGAGTTCTGGGAACTCGAAGAGCACGAAGTGGCCTACAGTTGGCTCCGGGCATTCAAAATGTGGCCCGGGAATGGAGTTCTGGGAACTCGAAGAGCACGAAGTGGCCTACAGTTGGCTCCGGGCATTCAAAATGTGGCCCGGGAATGGAGTTCTGGGAACTCGAAGAGCACGAAGTGTGTGACTGTTGCATCCGGCCCTCCAGAATGTGGCCCGGGAATGGCGTTCTGGGATGTCGAAGAGCACGAAGTGTGTGACTGTTGCATCCGGTTATTCTAAAAGTGGCCCGGGAATGGCGTTCTGGGATCTCGAAGAGCACGAAGTGTGTGACTGTTGCATCCGGGTATTGAGAATGTGGCCTGGGAATGGAGTTCTGGGAAGTCGAAGAGCACGAAGTGTGTGACTGTTGGTGAAAAACGAGCCCGGCACCTGCCGCCCGGCAACTCCCAACACCTGCCCGGACCCCCCTGTGGAGTGATCTGCTGCTCTCTTTTGATCCCACTAGAAACCTATCAGTCTTCGCTGTTAGGTAACAAATAATTGTCCAGCCCGCGGCCGGTTTTTTCTAATCGTCATCCCGGGCGCCGCCGTGTGAACACGACCCCCGGTCATTTATTAATCGTGATCCTCCATTAACTGGAGCTGCCGTCACCCAAAGCAAGCACCAGCTACGGCAGACCTGGTGTATTGATGATTCTGGCCAATTTGGGGGCCCTGGGGCCCTACTGCTAACCGGGTCCCCTTACCTGGGGCCCTGGCTATACCCTACGAGTGGCGGGGGGCGCTCGGCACACGAACCGTCCGGCTGCAAAAAGGAAGAAAGAGCGGGGAGGAGCGGCCGCGGAGGACAGGAGGGGACAATGCCTTGCATCTTCGGGGCACCTCGTCTGGCCCATCGCGCCACCATCCGTGCCGAGTGTGTTGAATCCACGTCGAACGTCAAATCCGCGTCGAATCCACGTCGAAGCCGCGTCGAATCCGTGTCGAACCCGTGTCGGGCACAAGGAACAAAGAAAACACGCAGCAATTAACAGGGCAGACGGGGTCCTCCGAAGATGCATTGTAAAGGAAGGAGGGTACTCACCAAGGGTAGAAAGCCGACAAAGGGCCGCTCAGTGACCTTTTTTCCCTTTCCCGCGGGCAACGGTCGTTATCCGTGGGAGGGGGGGGTGTCGGGCGGGAGGCTAACGGTATCGGCGGCCGCGGCGTGCACCCGTCAGGGTGGGTCGGCGCCGCCGGCACATTTCCCCCAGGCAGGAGGGGGGGAGTCAGGCCACCCCCTCGCAGTACGATCGATATAGCGTTGCCCGGAGAGGCACCCAGGACCCCCGACGGCATGATTCTTGTCATCACGTCGGCCCCCCGAGGTCTCGACCCCTTCCCCGGGACCGGTCTCTCCTCCCGAATCCTGTTTTGAGGGTGCCGAGGCCCGGTGAGGGGGCGCACAACCTCCCGTCGCGATTTTTGTCCCTGCTCGAGGGGGGGGGGCCTTGGGACAGGGGGGGTTGGCACGGGGAGGGAGCACGACGCTCACCAGCCAAGGGGGGGGGGGGCGGTCTCCTGCGGCCACGGCGCCGTGGCGCCGCTGCGGCGGCGTGGCCCCGCGCGCCCGGCGCCCGAGGACCTCGGGGGGGGGCGGGAGGCGGTCGGCGACAGGGGCGGCACAGGGCCGGCCATCGGGCCGGATCGGCCGCGCTGGGATGCACAGAGTCCAGCGAGGAGTGGGCCCCGACCCCCTCGGGCAGCGACAAACATCACGACGGGAGGTGTTTCGCCGTCGTCGGCCTCTGGGGGCCCTTCCCGGGCCTCGGGACCGTCAAAAGATGATCCGGGATGAAAAACCGGCTCCGGCGAAGAGGTCGAAACCTTTGGGGGTCGACGTCGTGAAAAAATCATGACGTCGGGGGTCCTGGGAGTTATGAGGCAACTCCTCGGAGGTCTTCGTTGGAACGGTTCAGGGCGATTACTCAAGCCCGGGTAGAAAGCTGTCTCACCGGATAAGGCCAGCTTCAGCCCGGGACTTCAACCAGGCGCAGCCGGATTTAACAGGTTTGAGCCGGATTAAGTCCAGTAAACACAGGTTAAGCCGATCACCGACCGCGAAACTGCCAGCGCCAAGACAGAATGGAACCTCCCAGGACTTGCATCCCAGACGGAGGAAGAGAAAGAGGACGAGGAAGACGCTCTCGGGCCACGGGACCCGGGAGAATCGATCCGGGGTAACAAAAAAACAGCGTCAGGTGGACCTGGGAGGGTTCTGGGGACAGACGGTGAACAAAGTTCGCCCATCCGAGGAGGAGGGGGAGGAGGGGGAGGAGGAGGAGGAGGAGGAGGAGGGGGAGGAGGAGACTCTGGAGACTCTGCCTGATCGCGTAGCGATATAGGAGGGGGAGGAGGAGAGGAGGAGGAGAGAGGAGGACGAGGAGGAGGGGGTGAGGAGGAGGAGGGAGGAAGGGAGGATGAGGAGCAGGAGGAGGAATATCGTGCCCCTTTGGGGCCCCGGAGGGCTCATGCAGGGCCCATCAGGCGCACATATCTTGAACTCCTCCTCCTCCTGCTCCTCCCCTCCTCCCTCCTCCTCCTCCTCCTCCTCCTCCTCCCTCCTCCCTCCTCCCTCCTCCCTCCTCCCTCCTCCCTCCTCCCTCCCTCCTCCCTCCTCCTCCTCCTCCGAGGCGTGGATTCGGGGCGCAGAGCTGCCCCCCTCGGAGAGGGGCTGGACGGCGAGGCACCTGCGTGTGTTGCTGGGCATCGCTTATCCGATGCCCGTCTCCCCGGCAGCGTGGCCAGGGCCCCGCTGGCCTGTCCAACGCCGTCGGAAGCCGTCTTTGGGGGCCTCTCTGGGCCGACTTGGGGCCCTCTTGGGGTGCTCCAGGGCCGTTTCGGAGGCCCTTTCGGGCGTCTTGGAAGCCTCTTGGGCCGCCTTGGGGCCGTCTTGGGCCCGTCGCGGAGGCCTCTTGGGCCGTTCTGGGGCCGATTTGCCCCCCTGGATGGGGATATACGGGCCGCTCCCGTCGGGCTTCGAGGGGTGTGTCCCCAACTGGGGGGGGGTGATTTCGTGGGGGTCTCGAAGGGGATGGGGATGGGGATGGGGAACGGAGAAACGATACTGACATGTATCGCAACCCCATTGCGCAACGCCCGACTGATTTGGGCTGCGATCGCCATGGTAATTTTGAGCGCGAGAACCAACATGCGGAGGGGGGTTCAGGCCCCCAACGATGTACGATCGTCGTTGCCATTACCTGGGCGGTGGGGGTGGGGGGGGATGCGTGGGAAACACTCTCACAACAACGTCGTGCGAGCGTCGCGTAACTGTGGATCGTCGGAATTGAATCGGACCGATCGGATCGAAATGAGCCCTGTGTTGGGGATAACTGGTTCTCTGCCAGACCCAGCGAAGGCGACGACAGCGGCACGGGCTCGGCCACCGAATCGGATCGGGCGCGCCGAGATGCACACCCGCTGGGGGAACAAGAACCCTCAATCTCCGACGATCTGTTTTCTCCGATCTGGGCGTTCTTCCTTGATCTCGGCCGTCGGGGGGGGAGGGGTCACGGGGGCCCCGCGGGGGTCCCGCGGGGGCGGGGCCACGGTGGCCAAGGAGGCCCCGCGGGGGAGGGGCCACGGGGGTCACGGGGGCCCCGCGGGGGAGGGGGGCCGTCATCAGGCCCCGGAGCCACCAAACGTGGACCTGATGGAAAAACTTGTCCTGGGGAAGGGGGCCAGAGCTCCAGGGCTACGGACCGAAGCAAGAACATCCTATCGGCGGATGTCGGCGAGGTGGAGCAAGAGCAGTATGACACGCCGCCGTTGAGGACCCATCAGCGTGCAGTAGCTGTTGAAGCACCACGTCTTCGGACAAAGACGAAGAAGCAGCACGCTGAAGGGCTCCCGGCGGCGGCGTGGCACTGATACGTTTTCTCTCCCGACTAGCTAGCGCCGCGCAGGCATCGAGCCGCATCAGGTCGTCGGTGCCCCGGATCCGAGTCGGATCGGGGGGCCGTCCAGTCGGCATCGAATCGGATCGATCGGATCGAGATGGACCCTGCGACTGGCCATCGCTTGGACGTCCATTCCCTGTGCTTTTTTTCGGTTTTGTGCGTGGCTTTTTCGCTAAATGATCAAGGATGCTCCTCGATGGTCCTCGCCGAAGGAAAACTGCACACGTCCGAGCGATGCCAAGGCGAGGGCGACGAGGACAGGGCGACGGGACGCTGACGACGGCTCCGCGCGAGGGCGGCGAGGGCGGCAGCGGCGGCGGCGGCGCGAGCGGCGACGGAGGCAGCGACGACGACATATGAAGGGGCCCCAGGACACACAAATAAATAATTACACACACAAAAATTGTCCCCATATTTTCCCATATGTTCTGGGTTTCTGTCTTCCCCCCACTTCCCATATGTTCTCATATTTTCTGGGGAATCGAGGATTAATTGTGTCTGTGTGATTCTTTTCCTCCTGGACACAGGCGGGGAGATGGAAGGACGAGGGGCGGGGAGGGATCGCCAGCCTCGAACTTATCCCCATCCCTAAGATTGACACGCCCAAACAATCTTAGGGCTGCGCCCACAAAGCCTGAGGGAATCCCCGAGATTGTCATCGTGATGAGGCGATGCCCAGCACAGGGATAGGGATATGCTCCAGGCTGGTAAGAGGGAGGCAGGATGACGGAGAATGGGGGCGGGAGAGGGGGGCTGAGGGGGAGGCCGGAGGGCGAATGGGGAGGCGAATCCGCGTCGCACCCGCGGCGGGTGCAAGAGAGCATGGCAACTTGCAGGAGAGACCAGGCCTCGGGCCCGCCGAAGATACGGCGTACCCGATCGGCTGTACACCCATCGATGACTGTCCCGATAATGCGGCCGCGCGGGGCAGGTACGGGGGCAACAAGGCCACACTCAACGGATGGAGCTGCCGGGTTCAAAGCGTGATCGGAAACAAGCTGTGTAGGGCGTTCGGATCACGGTCGTGATCTTAGCTATCCCGATACGCAACACGCAACAAATAGCGTATTGATAAGGAGCTCGACGCGTAGACGGAAAACGCAGGCTTGTGGACCAACACGCGCCGAACCAACACGTGGCGTGGTAACACGGTCCTTTGCACACGGCACGCGCTGCGTTTCAACAAGGGCAAACCAGGGCAGCTCAGGAAGCGGGCGGTTGAGGGCGGTCGGATCACGGTCGTGATCAGAAATGGGCGGCAAGTCCGGTTGAGTCCGAAGTAGTGTGTTAACACGGTCCTGTGAACACGGCACGTGCTGCGTTTCAGCAAGGGCATACCAGGGCAGCTGCGGAAGCAGGCGGCACAGTCAACCCGCAGAGTAAGGATGCGCGATATGGATGCAAGGCCCCTGGACGCCCACCTCGAAGCGCTTCGAGCGGGGCGCGGCCAACGAAAGTGTCCAAGGGTGGACCCAGGAGGCAAGGATGCAAGGGTACCTTGGGAGGGATGCCTATCTTTACTCTGCGGGTCGACTGTAGAGGGCGTTCGGATCACGGTCGTGCACGTCCCCCTACAGGAGGAATTTTCAACAATAATAAAAAAATAGTCTGGGCACTATTTCTGAATATGTTTTGACAAGTTTGGAGCATGTTCGGAGTATCTTGATATTTGTCGTCGAAAATCCCCCTGTAGGGGGACACGCCCGACTTAACGGTAGAGGGAGGTCGGAGCACGGTCGTGCGCGGCGGTTCGAGCGGGGCGTTTCGATCGGGGCGCTTCGAAGCGGGGCGCGGCCAATGAAAGTGTCCAAGGGTGGACCCAGGAGGCAAGGATGCAAGGGTACCCTTGGGAGGGATGCCTATCCTGACTCTGCGGGTCGACTGTAGAGGGCGTTCGGATCACGGTCGTGCCCGTCCCTCTACAGGAGGAATTTTCAAAAATAGTCAAAACATAGTCTGGGGACTATTTCTGAATATGTTTTGACAATTGTGGAGCATGTTCGGAGTATCTTGATATTTGTCGTCGAAAATCCCCCTGTAGGGGGACACGCCCGACTTAACGGTAGAGGGAGGTCAGAGCACGGTCGTGCGCGGCGGTTCGAGCGGGGCGTTTCGATCGGGGCGCTTCGAAGCGGGGCGCGGCCAATGAAAGTGTCCAAGGGTGGACCCAGGAAGCAAGGATGCAAGGGTACCTTTGGGAGGGATGCCTATCCTTACTCTGCGGGTCGACTGTAGAGGGCGGTCGGAGCACGGCCGTGCGCGGAAGTGGGCGGCAAAGTCCGATCGGAGGGCAGAGGGCCGCCTGCGCACAGAGAGACGCGGCGAGGGGCGTGCGAGGTGGAGGGGCGCACTCTGCTGGGGGGAGGGGGAGGAGAAGGAGGAGTAGGAGGAGGAGGAGGAGGAGCAGGAGGAGGAGAGGGAGGAGGAGGAGGAGGAGGAGAGGGAGGAGGAGGAGGAGGAGGAGGAGGAGAGGAGGAGGAGGAGGAGGAGGAGAGGAGGAGGAGGGGGAGGAGGAGAGGAGGAGGAGAGAGGAGGAGAGGAGGAGGAGGGAGGAGGAGGAGGAGGAGAGAGGAGGAGGGGGAGGGGGAGGAGGAGAGGGAGGGGGAGGAGGAGGGGGAGGAGGGGGAGGGGGAGGGGTGGGGGCGTTTGGATCACGGTGGAGAGACGCGGCGAGTCCGACTGCGACAAGGGCCAGTCTGCACGCAACGACGCGGCGAGGGGCCTGCAACATTGAAGGGCGCAGTTTCCCAGCCGGAGTTGGGGGGGTGGGCTGGGGGGGATGGTAAGCCGAGATACTGTGCTGCGCGCGCGGCTCAGCAGCGGTCGGCAGATCTAACCCATCTGGAGGTCGTGCACCCATCGACGAATCCTCCTCCTCCTCCTCCTCCTTCTCCACGTCCTTCTGCACACAGTTATCCAGCAACCCCGATGATCCGAACGATAAGAGAAGCTAGGACGGCCTGGCACTTCGCCTCCGACTATGGCATGGCATGATGGCAGCCGCAATTGTCTTAGGCGAAGAGGGCATCTGAAACATCAAGAAAGCCTGACTTACTCCGGCTAGGGAGATCACAGTGTCAGTACTTCATCGTGGTAGGGGCGGGCGGGATGATGGATGTGGGTGAGTGGGAGGGGTCAGAGCGAGTAGGAAGGGAAAAGGTGGACGGAGTATAGATCTATTTCTACATTCGATGGGCCCCTGCTGCCAGGCAGGCCACCTACATGTCATTCAAACCTCATCCCAAATCAAGAGACGTTACCACTAACTCTGTGGGGAGCCCCATGTGAAGGCGGGAGAGCACTTCGCGCGCAGCTTTGGTGGGCGCAGTGCAAACATCATGAAAACCACTTGGTGGGATGGAACACATAGTGGGAAGGGAGGAGGAGGAGTGGGAGGGAAACAAACGAGGGGAGGGTGCGATGAGCTCAGGCTCAAGCGGGTGGATCGCGAGAGTGACAGACCACCTGCAATGCAAGGAATCCCGAACACTCGCTGAATCGGAATGGGGACAGAGGATGAACCACCCTCCGTGGCCCTCTGGTCCGACATCTCTTGCCCTGAACACCAGATTCTCGCTTCGAGAGGCAGGTGAGCTCGCAGAAGGCTAAGCGCAACGAACCTCGAGAGACAAAAACCTGGAGAAGCCCCACTTGAGCAAACGATCCCCACTAGAGGGGACTGGGCTAGCTATAGGCGAAGCCATTGCCGTAGGACGCCCCAGGCGCGGCTGGCCGTGCGCGAAGCCTTAGGCCTGGCCATCGGGGCCATAAGGGAGAAACCCTGAGAGTGGCCAGAATGGGCCCTGGGCAGCGTGCGGAACCCAAACCGAGGCCATACCCGCCACAGGCTGCGACAAAGACTCCTGAGGGAGGCGTACATACCTTAGGAGGCAACTGCTGGGAGGTCTTGGTCGGAAGGACTAGGGAGAATTGCGCCCCATTAGGAAGCTCTTACGCCAAGTTAGGCCGCGGATAAGGCGGGATCAAGCCGGATTCAACGGGATTAAGCCAGATTAAACGGGATCAAGCCGGATGAAGCCCGATCTCTGACCAGGGCAAAAATGGAAGCTGACCTCTCAGGAGTTGCGTCCTGGCATGACCGTCTATTCGGAGAGTGCTCGCGGCAACGAACGCAGGCTCAGAAATTCCGGGGCGACCAAGGAGGGGGGCGTCCAAGAGGGGGGGGGGGGGGGCGCAAGTCATGACTGGCGGCATGTGCGCAGCCCGGGGGGGGGGGGGCCGGGACGTATTGAAATAAGAAGAGGCGCCAGGAAATCTGGGGGAATATCATGGCCCACGCCATGATGTCCGCCCCCCTCAGTCGTCACCCCCCTCTTGGCCGCCCCCGAAATTCCTGGGCGAGGGACGGTGCCGGGGCAGCTTGAGGCTCTCCCCCGACGGGGGGGGCCTCGTCTCCGTCGGCTCCGGGGCTGCCCATCAGCGGGGACCTCAGCATCTGCCGCGCATGGGCGAGCGAGTCGCTGCGGTCCATGCCGGGAGGTTCCTGCTCGCGCGCGCCGTTGGCGGTGCTTGGCGGCGAGCGAGAGGAGTGAAGCGAGAAGGGTCGCCTTCTCAGAAGGCTCGGAAGTCCCCTGGCCTTCTGAGAAGCTTCTTATGTCTTCCCCCAGGAACAGAGAACTTGAACTTCTCAGAAGGCGCGAGGGCTTCCGAGAAGTCCCGCGGCCTTCGGAAAAGGCCTTCTCCGTCTCACTTCCCCCCGAGCTCGCCGCCGAGCATGGGCGGGGTGGAACAATTCCAAAGTCGCCACCACCCCCGAACCACTTCGGCCACATAGGTCCTGCTTGCACCGCCCCGATGGGAGCTGCCGCCGCGAACAACATGTCTGAGCTATGGGCCCAAAGGGCCCCACCAGCTGCAGCCCGAAAGGCTCATGAGCTGTTGAAACATACGCTCGCAGCACTTCTGCGATTACCTGTCCTCACCCTCACTTGGAGAAGGGGCGATAGGACGGGAGGAAGCAGGATCATGCTGGTGGATGCCACGACAATGGACACCCGAACAGTCCTATCATCGAATCAAAACGTGTGTTTAAGATGTAAGACAAATGTCCTGAACATGTTAAAACATTAACAAATTAAAACATGTTTAACACATGTTTTAAACATCTGGGAATTAGTCGGAAACATGTTCCCCATTGATCGTCCTCCACAAGAGTATGCATGTCGAGGCACAGATAGGAAGCGAGAGGCACCACGCCGAATCACCACGCTCCCCAGTCGTTGACAAGCTCTGAGCGCAGCAGCCACGCGAGAAACTGAAATCGGCCATTGACATCTGGTACAATGGTGTTGCTGACAATTCTCCTCTCCCACCTCCTACGCACAACACGGCAGAGGGAAACAATTAGTGAACACCCCCGCTGCCCCCCAAACTCAAAGTTGGCACGCGCGGGGGAGACTGCGGTCGAGATGCAACTCATCAGACCCACCGCCAACTTTGAACATTGGGGGGAGGGGGAGGCGCTCACAGATGAATGTGGCATGAATGTTCACCATTTTTTCCGAGGCCTGTACCTCGGATAAGGCTAACGCATGTACTAGTTGGTGCCGTGCGGCATGCGCCTCCCCTTCACGGCGCGCAGACGGGGGCGGCACGAAGGGGCTTCAGCGAAGGGCTCGAAGGCCTCTCAGAAGGAAGACCTCTGCGAACACGCCCACCCTCTTGACGGCCGTCTGGAAAAGCTGGCATCAAAGAAACGGTCCGTCAAACTTGCCCGGCACGACGGGATGCCGCCACAACCTGGGCCACAGCCTTCGGTTCTGGGCCGCTGGCGGCGGTCAGCCCGGAGCCACCCGCGATGGGGCCGCCGCCACGCCGTCGCGGCGCGAGCCTACCGTGGCCTATCGGGGCACCCCTGCCCACCTCCCGCCCCATGCCTTCCTGGAAGCCTCCCAGGAGGAGGAGGAGGAGGAGGAGGAGGAGGAGGAGGGAGAGAGGTGAGGAGGAGCAGGAGAGGAGGGAGGGGGGGAGAGGAGAGGAGGAGGAGGAGGAGGGAGGAGAGGGGGAGGAGGAGGAGAAGGAGGAGGAGAGGAGGAGGAGGGGGAGGAGGAGGAGGAGGAGGAGGAGGAGGAGCAGGAGGGCCGCGGGGCCGCTGTCCTCGCTGGCCTGGGCAGAAAGGGAAATCCGCGACCCCAGGCCGCTCGAGCGGCCTTTGGGCCGAGATCGGCTGCGGAAGCCGTGGACGTGACGGCGCGCGCCTCGTCGTGCTCCAAGCAGGTCCTCGCTCGTCCTGCTCACTCCGATCGGCCCCCTCCACTCCCCGCGCCTCGAGACGTGCTCTGCGCCACAGCAGCTTCCCGTGGAGAGACTCTGGGGGTCCAGGACCCGGTTGCCTCAGGGCGCCTCGCCCACACGCCACGCTCGGGCGTGCACGGGGGGCAGATGATCAGGGGGCAACAAACGCGTACACGCCCAACACTAGACGAGCGCGTTCCATTACTCGCTAAGTGACCACTCGCCAATGGCATGGGTCCGCCGCAGGGGATCTACGAGAAATTACATCGAAGCCTCCTGGGCACGCGGTGGCAACTCAATGGCCGTGTGGGGCTCCTCCGAACAATTTTCCGGCAGTCCTCGACCTTCCCCTCGTCTGCCCCCCCCTTACCTGCGCACCCAGCGCCCAACCAAAGGTCCCCCCGTGCACCGATACTTCGTTCAGGTCCTCGAAGCCCTGGCGCACTCGTGCCCGTGAGGGGCGCCAAACGCTGGGGGCCTGCGCCCTGGCGCGGAAACGAAGGCCAAGACGCGCTCCGGAAGCCCTGGACCCAACAATATCGCCATCCCCTGGGGGCGCACCGTTCGGAGGCGACGACAGGGGCGGATATATCAGGGGAGAGCATTGCACGTACCTCTCCGGGAGCCTCGCTGAAGGCATGGATCATCGGCGCTCCTGGATACAAGTCGTTCTTTTCTAATCGTGCTCATTTCTAAGTGTGCTCGTTTCTAATTGTTGCTGGCCCCCCAGTGGCCAGGAAGACGCCCAGGGTAGAAGAATCAGAGATGAAAGGAACATGAAGCATGTGTACACGTCTTGCTCCGCCCCTGGGCTCTGCGCCCCTCTCGTCGCATCTGGACCACGTCGAGGCGCCAAGCCTCCGCCCGCCTCCCGCCGGCGAAAGCAGCTGCCTCGCTCTGCCTGTGCTTGAGCAGGGACCGACCGTCCCAGCATTCCGCATAGTCCTACCACGACATGCTCGTAGAACCCGAAAATGTCCTAAGAACAAAAAGCGTGTTCTTAGAAGCGACAAAGCGAGACAGACTCCGCCAGAAGCGTCCTAAGAACACCTCGTGGGAACCACAACCGGCTCTTGGAGCATTGCCTGTTGGGGCTACAGGCGAGCCATGCCAAACATGTTCGAAAAACAAAAACAATATTCTTATCACAGAAGCCCGATATGAGGAAACAAGACAGTCCCAACCAGCAGCGCTTTAAGAACACCTCGTGGGAACCGCAAGAGGTGCTCAGAGCATTGCTTGCTGGGGCTCTATGGCGAGCCCGGACGCTTCGCCGCTGCTTCACCTGCGGCCGCGGAGCGGCAGCGCCCCGCGGCCGTGGGCCCCCGCGGCCCGCGGGACCCCCGCGGCCCGCGGGGCCCCGCAGGTGCGGCGAGCCGTGCGTGCGCCCCGCCCACGGGCCGATGCCGTGCGGGCGGAGCTGTGTGGAGCGAGCGTGCCGCTCCGCTCCGACTTCGGGGGGGGCGGGGAGGCCGGGATCGCCTCGGAGCGCTGATGCTGCTGGGGGCTTCTCTCCTCTCTGCTTCTTCCTCTTGCTACTATTATTATTGCTCTTAGTAGTATTAGTTTTAGTATCAATATTACCATTATCGTTATTACCATTATTATTACTACCACTCGTATTATTAGTATCATCACCATTATTAGTTATTATTAATATTCTTAGCCTTTTTATAAGGAGTAATATTGCTATTATGGTTCGTACTATGATAATGAGTATTGGCATTCTTATTCTTCTAGTTCGTTATACTTATGATATTTCTTCTTCTTGATCTCTGTTGGTTTCGATGCTGCTGGGGGCCTGGGCGTGCCGTGCAGGTCGCGCCGAGGCGTGCCGGGCCAGCGCCGGCGGCGCGAGGCCCGCGGAGCAGAGGCGCCCCCGGCCGCGGGAAGGCCTCGTGCGCTCCCAGAGAGATGGGGCCCCCTCGCGGGGAGCTCCGCGCGGGACGCTCCGAACGGGTCCCCGGCCGTGGAGGCCTCGTGCGCTCCCAGAGAGACGGAGCCCCCGCGCGGGGAGCTCCGAACGGGGAGCTCCGAACGGGTGCCCGACCGCGGGGAGGCCTCGTGCGCTCCCAGAGAGACGGAGCCCCCGCGCGGGGAGAACGGAGGTGATCTCTCTGCCTGTCACGGCGAGCCGCGGCGGAGCGGCCAGGCTTCCTATGACGGGCCCGTCCTCCACCACCGCCACCACGAGTTGGACGGGGGGAGGAGGAGGAGGACGAGGAGGAGGAGGACGAAGAGGAGGAGGACGAAGAGGAGGAGGAGGAGGAGGAGGAGGAGGAGGAGGAGGAGGAGGACCCCCTCCCCCTCCAACTTATGGTGGTGGTGGTGGAAGGCGGGCCCATTTTGGCAGACCCAGACCTGAAGAACGGCCCGACTACCTGAGCCCCTCCCGAGCCCGACGTGCTCCCGGCTTCCCGGAGAGCCTGGCGGTTGCCCTGGGCAGGGGGTGCCTCGCCTGCTCCTCGGGCAAAAACACAGGGGCAGCGCTGCCCTGCGCCAGGCACCACCGCGAGGGAGCGGACCTCCGAGTCCAGATGCCGAATCTGCGCCTCCAGGAAAACGGCATGATCCTCTATGGCTCGGTGAGGATCGGAATCACGAACGAGCGACTCTTGCGAAACACTCATCCACGATCTCCCCCCCATTTGCTGTTGCTGCAATCCATCACGATTGCTGCATGTCCTCTCCCTCCCCCTTCGCCTGCTGCGTCCCCGTGTCCTCCTTCTCCTCGCCACCATCCTTTTGCCTTCCTCTCAAGACTCCCCATCCTCCCCGCCCTCCTCTTCCTCATACTGAATACCTCCCTCGTCGTCCACCACCTCAGTTCAATCTAGTTCAATGCGGAAGCGGGTGTCGATGCCACCCGCCCCAAACATCAGAAAAGCTCATGCCTAGATCTCTTGATCTGCCTGAGCTGCAAAAATGAGGCCAACTCTGGAGAGGAGCTGGGCAGGGTCCCGCTTCTCCTCCCACAGGCCATCAAATAATTCGGGAGACTGGTCTGGCTCAACTCCCCCTGATATCTAGATACCAGTTGTGCGACGCACAGATGAATACCACAAGATCAGTCGCCCTCCGCCACCTCCCCGTCGCCCTCGCCGTTTTTCCTTTCTCCCCTGTCTACTCCTTTCCCTCTCCTTCGGGCGACAACGACGACGACAACGACGACGACGACCACATCCAACGATCACGCCCGACGACGACGTGCATCCACGGCGGCGGTAACGACGACCGGCCGCTCCGCGGGGCAGGGCGGTATGGATGTGGCGGGGGCGCGCCCCACTTCGACAACTCCCTGGCGCTGGCCTGCCCGGGAGGGAGAACTCGGTCGGCAGGGCATTGATGCAGCAGGAGCACTGCTGCAGCAGGTCGGAGGGGGAGAAAGAGGAGGAGGGGGAAAAGGAGGAGGAGGAGGAGGAAGAGGAGATGGAGGAGGAGGAGGAGGAGGAGGAGGAGGAGGAGGCGGAGGAGATGGAGAAGGAGGAGGCGGTTGAGGAGGAGGAAGAGGAGGGAAGGAGGAGGAGGAGGAGGAGGAGGAGGAGGAGAGGAGGAGGAGGAGGGGGGGGAGGCGGAGGAGGAGGAGAGGAGGAGGTGGAGGAGGATGGAGGCGGAGGAGGAGGAGGAGGAGAGGAGGAGGAGGAGGAGGAAGGAGGAGATGGAGGAGAAGGGGGAGGAGAGGGGAAGGAGGAGGACGAGGAGAAGAAGGAGGAGGAGGAGGAGGAGGAGAAGGAGAGGGGAGGGGGAGGAGGAGGAGGGGGAGATGGGAGGAGGAGGAGGAGGAGGAGGAGGAGGAGGAGGAGGAGGAGGAGGAGGAGGAGGAGGGGGAGGAAGAGTAGGAGTATGAGGAGGAGGAGGAGGAGGAGGAGGAGGAGAAGCAGGAGGAGAAGGAGCAGCAGGAGGAGAAGGAGGAGGATGAGGCGGAGGACGGGTCGCCTAAGCCCTTCGGGGAACCCCTCCAGCACCAGGCCAACCCAGCACGAGCACACGGGAGGGAGCGGGAGAGGCTTGAGAGGGAGGGAGGGAGGGAACCTCCATCCTCGCGCGCTGGCGGACGCACTGCGAAGCTTCTCGGCCTGCGCGTGTCATGCCTGCGCAGGGGCCGTGCTGCGCTTCTCGGCAGCGTTGCACTGTGAACGGATGATGCTCTCAGGGGATCATCGGATCCCTGCCCTCCCCATATCCCCCACCTCCCAAGTTTTTGCGGAGGAGGCTTCGATTTACAAATCTAAGTCTTCGGCACAAGGCCGTTGCACTGCAACTTCGGCTCTATATATTGCAGCGCGGAGAGCGCCAAGTGTCGGAGGCCCCATCCGCCCATAGCTGAGTGGCGGGCTGCGAATAAAAGTGAAATCATCCACGTCATGCCACGTCCTGAACGGGGCCCAAGAAGGGCAATTCGACTTGACATTTCGAGCCCTCCGCCCCAAGAGGACCCCCGAGACTGCCAGCAGGCCCACAAGAAGGCCCGAAACGGTCCCCAAGAGCCCCCCCCCAGGGCTCCCCCGTGGATCCCGTTGTTCCTCTGAGGGTCAGCGGAATGGCATAAGGCTCTTGGATCATCAACGTCTTGGGTCAGCTACTGGGAAGACCAAGGATCACCGATACAGCTGCTACCAAGACCTCTTCAGGGGTGCGTTCTGATCAAACTTTCGAAGCGAATCGAGCGGTGGCGACGAGGGCCTCTCAGGAACCCTAAGAGGGCGAAAACGGGGGAAGGGTAGCGCCATGGGTACCTTTTCGTCCTCTGAGCTACAGTCCCACCTTTCCTGCACCCTCCCTCTCGATGTTGGCGGATGCGTTCGGCTGCGGGAGGTTCGACGAGGACGGGGGCGGCCCGCTGCAGCGACGCGGACACACAAGCACGCACACAAACACACACACACACACACACACACACACACACACACACACACACACACACACACACACACACACACACACACACACACATATATATATATATACACACGCACACGCACACTTTTGCGTCGGCGGCTGGGCAGAGGGTGACTGCTCTGGCGATCGGGCATCAGGTTGACTGCTCCGGGAGATCGGACACACACACACACACAAACACACACACACACACACACACACACACACACACACCGGGGAGCTTGGCGGCCTCGGCCCCCCAACCCTGCAGGGCCCTCGCCTGGGCAGAGCGTCTGGGGGCCCCAAACTCGGGAACTTACGACGCCCCGGGGGTACATCCAGGGGTTTCCCCCCTTCTTTCTGCCGAGCGGCAGCTGCTCGGGGGGTGGAACGGCATCGGGGGGTGGGGGTGACAAGTGTCCTGCGAAAGCAGGCCGTGCCAGCCAAGGCGAGCCCTGGCAGGTGGCTGCCCCGCCTCGGCCCCGCCTCCGCCCCCAGCCGCAGCCTCCGGGCAAGTCCAGCGGACGGCCCGCTGCAGGGACCCCGCCGAACCCTAAATTCTTAATCCTATAATTATAAAGCCCTGAGTAACCTAAAACCGGCCGTTATGCAATCCGGCTCCATCTACTGCAAAAAAAACATGTCCTGAGCATGCGTGCACAATCTCCTCTATTTTACACTACAAAGTGCCCGGCCCCCGTTGCGACCCCGTTATGTAAACCCGGTCCATCTATTGCAAAAAATAGCATTTTCTGCGCATGCGTGCAGAAATTCTTTTTTTACAGCACAAAGTGCCCAGTCCCCGCCGCGACCCCCCTCCATCTACTGCAAAAAATAACATGTCCTGAGCATGCGTGCAGAATCTCCTGTGTTTCACAGCACAAAGTGCGCCCGTCTTATGTAAACCCGGTCCATCTACTGCAAAAAAACACTTCCTGCGCATGCGTGCAGAATCTCTTGTATTTTACAATACAAAGTGCCTCCCGTTGCGCGCCGATCCACCCACTCCACAAAATAGCCTTCGCTGCGCATGCGTGCAGAATCTCTTCCGCCCGACCCGATTCTTCCCGCCCGTGAGAGCACTCGCGTGCCAACTGCATCGCACATCACTCGTCGCCGTCGTCGTCGTCGTCGTCGACGCTGTATTCGATGTGGTTCTAGCGAGGGGAGAAATGAACTTTATGGTGGGGTGGCGTGCGGGTGGGAGTGACGGCCACCGCAGGTGGGCTCGCGGTCACGGTGTACTCGTGGCCACGCCTAGTAGACCCTAAATTTCTAATCCTATAATTACTAAGCCCTGAATAACCTAAAACCGGCCCGTATGCAAACCGGCCCCATCTACTGCAAAACATAAAAATGTCCTGAGCATGCGTGCAAAATCTTATTTTTTACAACACAAAGTGCCCAGCCCCCGTCGCGTTCCGCCTCCATCCTATACAAAAATAGCATTTCCTGCACATGCGTGCAGAATATCATATTTTTTATAACACAAAGTGCCCAGTCCCCGCCGCGACCCCCCTCCAGCTACTGCAAAAAAATACATTTCCTCAGCATGCGTGCAGAATCTCCTATGTTTCACAACACAAAGTGCGCCCCTCTTAGGTAAACCCGCTCCATCTACTGCAAAAAACGGCACTTCCCGCGCATGCGTGCAGAATCTCTTGTATTTTACAATGCAAAGTGCCTCCCGTTGCGCGCCGATCCACCCACTCCACAAAATAGCTTTCGCTGCGCATGCGTGCAGAATCTCTTCCGCCCGACCCGACTCTTCCCGCCCGTGAGAGCACTCGCGTGCCAACTGCATCGCACATCACTCGTCGCCGTCGTCGTCGTCGTCGTCGACGCTGTATTCGATGCGGTTCTCACGAGGGGAGAGATGATCTTTATGGTGGGGTGGCGTGCGGGTGGGAGTGACGGCCACCGCAGGTGGGTTCGCGGTCACGTTCCGTTCTACTCGTGGCCACGCCTAGTAGACCCTAAACCCTAAACCCTAAACTGAAGCGCGACCCCGTTGGGTCGCGCTTTCGACCTCGAACGCTATCGTTGGCGAGGAGCGAGCGATAGTCGAGCTCCCAGAACGTTCTCAGGCCGACAC